CGGGACTGAGACCGGGACTGAGACCGGGACTGAGACCGGGACTGAGACGGAGACCAGACCGGGACCAGAGCGGAACTGAGACCAGAGCGGGACTGAGACCAGACCGGGACCAGAGTGAGACTGAGACTGAGACCAGACCAGGACCAGGCTAGGACCAGGCCAGGACTAGGCAGGGACCAGACCGAGACTGAGACCGGGACTGAGACCGGGACTGAGACGGAGACCAGGCGGGGACCAGAGCGGGACAAGACCGGGACCAGACCGGGACCAAACTGGACCAGACCAAGACTGAGACTGGGACCAGAGCGGGACCAGACAGGGACCAAACTGGGACCAGAGCGGGACTGGGGGGGGGGGGGGGAAGGCCAAACTTTAGACAAACGTTACTGATCCATAAGAGAAATGACTTGTACACAGCAGCTCACACATCACAATGTACAACAATTAAGGATGTAACAATAACCAAAATATCGTGATGTCGTATCGTCAAAGTTCTCACAATAATATCGTGAACCATCACAATATATCGAATCACAAGTGTCTTTGCTTAAATTCAGAGTTATGGTGCAGCAACAGCTCAAAAAAGACAGAGGGAACTACATAGACCATGATCCTTTGCTCCATTTCAGTGCAGACGACAAGAAGAAATAACAGTTCGAACACTTTTAAGTCTTAGTTCTTTGGATTAAGTCTTCACAAAATATACAATAAATATCGTACCGTGAGGTTTGTACCGTGACAAGTGTTGGTGGAGTAACAGATTACATGTACCAGAGTTATGTAATCAGAGTACAAATTATGAGTAAATGTATTCAGTTACAGTTACTGTTTCAGTGAGTGGTAATTGGATTACAGTTACTTTGTTGAAATAAATGGATTACACAGAGGGATTTTCCTGTTGTTTTTTTTGTTTTTGTTTTTTTCTGTAACTCCACTCACTGCCGGACACAAAACCAGGTCTAAACTAGGTCTAAACCAGGACTAAAACCAGGTCCAAACCAGGTCTAAAACAGGTCTAAACCAGGTCTAAAACAGGTCCAAACCAGGTCTAAAACAGGTCTAAACCAGGTCTAAAACAGGTCTAAAACAGGTCTAAACCAGGTCTAAAACCAGGTCCAAACCAGGTCTAAAACAGGTCTAAACCAGGACTAAAACCAGGTCCAAACCAGGTCTAAAACAGGTCTAAACCAGGTCTAAAACAGGTCTAAAACAGGTCTAAACCAGGTCTAAACCAGGTCTAAACCAGGTCTAAACCAGGTCTAAAACAGGTCTAAAACAGGTCTAAACCAGTCTAAACCAGGTCTAAAACAGGTCTAAAACAGGTCTAAACCAGGTCTAAACCAGGTCTAAACCAGGACCAGGACTCAAACCAGGTCTAAACCAGGTCTAAAACAGGTCTAAAACAGGTCTAAAAACAGGTCTAAACCAGGTCTAAAACAGGTCTAAACCAGGACTCAAACAGGTCAAACCAGGTCTAAAACAGGTCTAAAACAGGTCTAAAACAGGTCTAAACCAGGTCTAAAAGGTCTAAAACAGGTCTAAAACCAGGTCTAAAACAGGTCTAAACCAGGTCTAAAACAGGTCTAAACCAGGTCTAAACCAGGTCTAAAACAGGTCTAAAACAGGTCTAAAACAGGTCTAAAACAGGTCTAAACCAGGTCTAACCAGGTCTAAACCAGGACTAAAACAGGTCTAAACCAGGTCTAAAACAGGTCTAAAACCAGGTCTAAAACAGGTCTAAAACAGGTCTAAACAGGTCTAAACCAGGTCTAAAACAGGTCTAAACCAGGTCTAAAACCAGGTCTAAACCAGGTCTAAACCAGGTCTAAAACCAGGTCTAAACCAGGTCTAAAACCAGGTCTAAAACAGGTCTAAAACCAGGTCTAAACCAGGTCTAAAACCAGGTCTAAACCAGGTTTAAACCAGGTCTAAACCAGGTCTAAAACAGGTCTAAAACAGATCTAAAACAGGTCTAAACCAGGTCTAAACCAGGTCTAAAACCAGGTCTAAAACTAGGTTTAAAACCAGGTCTAAACCAGGTCTAAACTATGTCTGAAACAGGATTTAACAGGACTAAATCCTGCTGTGTGGACGTGTCTCTTCTTCTATCAATAATATTTTGTATTTGGTTCAGTAAAGTCTGAGCTTTTTATTTTCTTTTATCTTTTTTATAACTTCTTATGTGAAGATTTCCTCGTCTTTGCTTCTCTACAGCAAATCAAATAATCCAAAGTATTCAGATTACGTTACTCACCTTAAATAATTTAATGGATTATGTTACAAACTACATTTTGGTGTATGTAATCTGTAATCTGTAGGGGATTACATTTTAAAAGGAACCTTCCCAACACCCCTAACTACAATAACAAAGAGAAATGATAATAATAAATTCTAAATAAGCAGCAAAAAAAGAAAATCAAACAATGTAATTTTTAAACCAACTCTGAAAGAAACTGGAGTCCAAAGGAGAGATAAAGTTGGCGTCCGAGGGCAGGACCAGCACACTCATTTATTCTGGAGCTGATAAAAATCCACCTTGAACCGTCAGTGTGGTGTAAAAGAGGTTTTACTTTCGATTTAAGACGTAGTTAATAAAAAACTCGATCTCTTCGCACTTTGTGGTTTAGTCCTGGTTTAGTCCTGGTTTAGACCTGGTTTAGACCTGGTTTAGTCCTGATTTAGTCCTGTTTTAGTCCTGGTTTAGTCCTGGTTTAGTCCTGATTTAGATGGTTTAGTCTTGGTTTAGACCTGGTTTAGTCCTGGTTTAGACCTGTTTTAGTCTGGTTTAGTCCTGGTTTAGTCCTGATTTAGTCCTGTTTTAGTCCTGTTTTAGTCCTGTTTTAGTCCTGGTTCAGTCCTGGTTTAGTCCTGGTTTAGTCCTGATTTAGATCTGGTTTAGTCTTGGTTTAGACCTGGTTTAGTCCTGGTTTAGACCTGTTTTAGTCCTGGTTTAGTCCTGGTTTAGTCCTGTTTTAGTCCTGTTCAGTCCTGGTTTAGTCCTGGTTTAGTCCTGGTTTAGTCCTGATTCAGTCCTGTTTTAGTCCTGGTTTAGTCTTGGTTTAGACCTGTTTTAGTCCTGTTCAGTCCTGGTTCAGCCCTGATTCAGTCCTGATTTAATCCTGGTTCAGTCCTGGTTTAGACCTGGTTTAGTCCTGGTTTAGACCTGTTTTAGTCCTGGTTTAGTCCTGGTTTAGTCCTGTTTTAGTCCTGGTTCAGTCCTGGTTCAGTCCTGTTTTAGTCCTGGTTTAGTCCCGGTTCAGTCCTGGTTTGGTCCTGGTTCAGTCCTGTTTTAGTCCTGTTTTAATCCTGGTTTAGTCCTTTATCTGTTTTTTTTTTTTTTTTTTTTTTTTTTTTTCATTTTTCATTTAAACACAAAATTTAAAACAAAAAACTAATAATTATCTGTTTTTTTTTGTTTGTTTGTTTTTTCATTTTGGTTTTGGAGACAAATAATGAAGAAAATAGTTTTTTTTTGTTTGTTTGTTTTCTTATTTTTTATTTTATTTTGAAAAACGAGTGAACGAATGATAAACTGATTATTTGTTTTTTCTAATTTTTGTCTCTGTCTTTTGAAAACACCAGATTGTACGACTTATTTATAAAGCTGCACTGTGTCGCTTTTTGGTTGGGGTCTGTCACCTGCTTGTTTCCATGGAGATGTCATTGCTCTGCCTGGAAAGTTCCACAGTGTGACATGAAACATTAAACATTTATTCAATTACAAGTGTTTTTATTGCTCAAAAATACTTAAAAAAGCAGACATTCTAACTGTGAGTGGCAGAGCTGGGACCAAGTTTCAAGTCTTTGACATCAAGTCCGAGTCAAGTCCCAAGTCAAATACAGACAAGACCAAGTCGAGTCTCGAGTTACTGGCCCATAAATCCAAGTCAAATCCAAGTTGTCATTTTAAGTCTTTAAACCAAAATCATGGTATATTTATATAAGAGTATTTAGAGTATATATTACATTTATATAATTATGTTTTATTTGATCTTATCTGTCTCTTGCTCTTTTTTGCTGCTTATTTAGAATTATTTGACCATTTATATTTTTGCTCTTTGTTGTTTTATTTATTGTGATTTAGGCTTTGACAAGGCCAAGTCTGATCCTGTCAGACCTCAGAAGCTCAGCAGGGCCGCACCTGTCTGGACTTGGACGGAGACACTGGGAAAATCAGGAGCCACAGGAGGCGCCAGACACAAAACTGTTGTTGTGTCCTTAGGCAAGACACTTCACCCACACTGCCTAGTATGAAAGTGGAGTGTTGGTGGTGGTTGGAGGAACCTGTGGCAGCTGCGTTTCTCTCAGTCTGCCCCAGGGCAGCTGTGGCTACAGTAGTAGTTTAAACCACTGGGTGTGGAGTGAATGAATAAATCTGTCAAGTGTCTTTGTGACAAATGTCTGTGAAAATCTCTACATAAATAAAACATTTACTTGCTTATTTACTCCTGTGTCCAAAGAATTTCCTTTGTGGATAAATAAAGTTTGTCTAAGTCAGTTTGTGCCTTTTGTCTTTGCACGACTCCTTAGTTTTGTCTCATGATTTAAAGGTACAAATATTTCTTCATTATAGTAAAATAGTCAAGTTTTAAGAGTCCTGCCTGTTCTGCTTCTGTCTGGACAAAACATTTAAACTCATTTTTCTCAGTTTTACTCTGGACATTTCGTCTTTGTGGAGCGGAGCTGCGCCCTGAGCACGGCGCGGGTGACTGAAGTGTCTTGCTCGAGGACACAACCACAGCGTGCACAAGTTGAAACTGACATCGTAAACACAGCCCTGGGAAATGTGTATCACGTGAATTATCGTGATCTGAGAGGTGCGCACCAGGAAACAGTGAAACTCTCAGCATTCCCGTGAATGACGTAAGGGGCGTGACGTGAGGGACGTGCCGCGTGGACTGAGCGCGTTTTTCTTCAATGAGCGCGAGGGGTGTGTCCCGGTGCGTGACTTTATAAACAGAGAGCGCGTGGGGAGAAGCACAGCTCTTTGATCCCGAGAGCACGCGACGATGACCTGTGGAGCGCGCGTGATCCAGGCTTTTGTTCTCGGCGCGTGCACTGCGATGGCGGCCGCGCGCTGTTTGAGCGCGGAGCAGCTGCGGGTGCGCGCGGACTGGTTTCAAGCGCGCCACCGGGTGCACGAGCTCAATCACACGCAGCAGCGCGAACTCACGTGCGCGAAGCTGGTGGAGCACGCGCAGCAGCAGCAGCAGCCTCAGCATGTGTACACGCGCGCGCTCTCCCCGTGGACGTACAGGTGCGTAAAACAGGGTCTTAAAAGTCTTTAAAAGTCTTACATTATGTTGTCCAAGTCTTACTTTTTGCACACAGGTCGTAAATTTCATTAGCCTATTTTTTGTAAACTCAGTCGGGCTGCAGGGCGAAGGGGAAAAAACAAGACTTATTTTGTTTTGTTAGAATGTTGTAAATGATTTGGCCATTTTACAAGCCACACATACGACTATAAATGAGTTCTGAATGACATTTTATAATACAAGTATTATTAGTTGTTTAAAGTAGTGAGTGATGGTCATTATTAGAATTGGATCTGGGGTTTTGCGTCCGCATATCGGCTGCGATGTTGGTCTTAATTTTCATTTACGGGATCTTAAAAAGGTCTTTAAAAAGTCTTAAATTCGGGGCAGTCAAACCTGGGCACATCCTGGTGAAAGTGCTCGTGTGGACTGTGAGTGTGAATAGAGATAATCTCATGTTGTACGCAGTGTTGGGGAGTAACAGATTACATGTACCCGAGTTATGTAATCAGAGTACAAATTATGCGTAACTGTATTCAGTTACAGTTACTGTTTCAGTGAGTGGTAATTGGATTACAGTTACTTTGTTGAAATAAATGGATTACACAGAGGTTTTGTTTTTTTGTTTTTTTTCGGTAATTCCACTCATTGCCAGACACTAAATCAGGTCTAAAACCAGGACTAAACCAGAACTAAACCAGGACTAAACCAGGACTAAACCAGGACTAAACCAGGTCTAAACCAGGACTAAACCAGGTCTAAACTAGGACTAAAACCAGGACTAAACCAGGACTAAACCAGGTCTAAACTAGGACTAAAACCAGGACTAAACCAGGACTAAACCAGGTCTAAACCAGGACTAAAACCAGGTCTAAACTAGGACTAAAACCAGGACTAAACCAGGACTAAACCAGGTCCAAACCAGGACTAAAACCAGGACTAAACCAGGTCTAATAGGTCTAAAACCAGGTCTAAACCAGGACTAAAACCAGGTCCAAACCAGGACTAAACCAGGACTAAACCAGGTCTAATAGGTCTAAAACCAGGTCTAAACCAGGACTAAACCAGGTCCAAACCAGGTCTAAACCAGGACTAAACCAGGTCTAAACCAGGTCTAAACCAGGACTAAACCAGGTCTAAACCAGGACTAAAACCAGGTCCAAACCAGGACTAAACCAGGTCTAATAGGTCTAAAACCAGGTCTAAACCAGGACTAAAACAGGTCTAAACCAGGTCTAAACCAGGACTAAAACCAGGTCTAAACTATGTCTCAAACAGGATTTAACAGGACTAAATCATGCTGTGTTTCCTCGTCTTCTATCAATAATATTTTTAATTTGGTTCAATAAAATCTGGGCTTTTAAATTTTCTTTTATCAGACAAAACATCTTATGTGAAGATTTCCTGGTCTTTGCTTCTCTACAGTAAATCAAATAATCCAAAGTATTCAGATTACATTACTCAGTTTAAGTAATTTAATGGATTATGTTGCAAACTACATTTTGGGGTGTGTAATCTGTAATCTGTAGGGGATTACATTTTAAAAGGAACCTTCCCAGTACTGGTTATACATATGTGTGAGTTTCAGACACCACAGCTTCTACAGAACAATCAAGTTTAACACAGATTCATATAAAAACACAGATTTGTGACATAATACAGTAAAGTCTTGGCTCAAGTCACTGATAGAAATGACCAGGTTTGTGGATTTACTTCTTAAATTGCCCCCGTGTGGGAGGATGGCGCGGTCTGTCACGGCCCAGACCGGTGTTCTGTTGAAATGAGCTCCCGCAGCCTAAATCGACAGTGACGTCTATTGATTCAAGCTGCCCCATCGAAATATGCGACCTTACGTTTTTCCGTTTACAGTTTTATAGATCCAATAAAGCCAAACCTGAACCTTGACCACCCCAGTTTGACAATATTTTTCTGTGGATTAGAGACGCGGGTTTGATGCTGTTTGATCACACTTTATACTTGAGTTATGTCACATTTAAACTCATTTATCTGAATCTGCGTCGTTCATTTGGACAGTCGTATTCTGCTCAAACAGGCTCCGACTAAAAGGAGCACATATCGACAAGACAATTTATCCATCGAATAATGCTCCCACTGTTAGAAATAGAAATAGATGATTCTCTCTTTTTATATGAATTTCCACAGACCCATATCTTCTATCAAATAAGACTCACACTATAGAAGAGACACTGGAAACACTGAAATCTTTATATTAAAAAGCGTTAAATACATAATATTTAAATATGTAGTATTTAACATTAATATCACAGGCTACAGTGTGAATTTTCTGTTATAATATAGTGATATTTTAAACACAACAGAATCCAGGCACTCCACACAAAAAAAAAAAAAAAATCGCACGAGGAAAAATATATAGTTAAAATGTTTCGACCAAACTGGTTTTAGATTAAAAACAAAACATGGGCGTGGCCTTTAAGAAAAACACACCAATAATAGAAACTGGAGATAATTAGAGGCAAAGCAGGTGTAAGACAAACAGCACAGGACATGACACACGCAAAGAAAACAAAGAAGCACACCCCACTGTTTTTAATAATAAAATAATGAATAGTGATAGTGATATTTTATTTATAACGTCTTTCTAAACAAAGTTACAACATTTTCTACAAATGGAAACAAAATAAAATACAACGTAATGAAAATAAAAACGATAAAATCAAATATTAAATCCAAACTATTCAATCATCTAACGTAGGTTTTCTGCCGCAAATCTAACAGGCACACGTCAATGTTTAACTGGTCCTAACAGACAACAAAACCAAAACACTTTTAAAATGTGACTTGTTACTCCACTTCTGCCTCGAGAGCTCAAATCGACGGCGTTTAAACTGTTACAGCGCTTTGAGGTCGTGTGCATGTGCAGTAATATTGTACCACGAGACTCGTATCGGGATAATAATGTACCGTGAGATGTGTATCGTGATAATATCGTACTGTGAGACGCGTATTGGATAATATCGTACCACGAGATGTGTATCATGATCGTATCGTATCGTGATAATATCGTACTGTGAGACGCGTATTGGGATAATATCATACCACGAGATGTGTATCATGATAATAACGTACCACGACATGTGTGTCATGATAATAACGTACCGCGAGATGCGTATCGGGATAATATTGTACCGAGAGATGCGTATCACCATATTATTGTACTGTGAGATGCGTATCGGGATAATGACGTACCGTGAGAGGTGTATCGGGATAATGTCGTACAGCGGGATGCGTTTCGGGATAATAATGTACCATGAGATGCGTATCGTGATAATATCGTACTGCCAGATGCGTATCGGGATAATAATGTACCGTGAGATGTGTATTGGTATAATGACGTACCGTGAGATGCGTATCGGGATAATAATGTACCGTGAGATGCGTATCGTAATAATATCGTACCGTGAGATGCGTATTGTGATAATATCGTACCGTGAGATGCGTATCGTGATAATATCGTACCGTGAGATGCGTATCGTAATAATATCGTACCGTGAGATGCGTATCGTGTACCGTGAGATGCGTATCGTGATAATATCGTACCGTGAGATGCGTATCGTGATAATATCGTACCGTGAGATGCGTATCGTATATCATGTACCGTGAGATGCGTATCGTAATAATATCGTACCGTGAGATGCGTATCGTGATAATATCGTACCGTGAGATGCGTATCGTGATAATATCGTACCGTGAGATGCGTATCGTGATAATATCGTACCGTGAGATGCGTATCGTGATAATATCGTACCGTGAGATGCGTATCGTGATGATATTGTACTGTGAAATCTGGACATCGTTACATCCCTAATGTTTGTATTTCTCTTGTCATGACACTGGACCAAACCTCAAGACTGTTTTTTTTTTTGTTTTTTTTTCTTCAGACTGAACCGGGACCAGCGGCGGTTTCCTCGCGACATCTTGGAGGCGCGCTGCCTGTGCGAAGGCTGCATCCTGCAGAGGGCGCACGAGGACCGGCCGCACGAGGAGCACACCTACAACTCCGTCCCCGTCTACACCCACGTGCTGGTCCTGTACAAGACCCGCTGCGCCCGACAGCCGCACAAGTACCGGCTCACCAAGAGGATGCTGCGCGTGACCGTCGGATGCACCTGCGTCATGCCCACATACACGGGCGACCACCGGGAAACGGACCTGGGCTAGTCCTGGTTTAGTCCTGGGGTAGTCCTAATTTAGATTCAGTTTCTTAGGTCTGATCTCCAAAGTGGTTTAGTCCTGGTTTAGTCCTGGTGAAGCTCTTTCTGCTACGTCAAACGCGTCATAGGTGAATCTGCCGCGTGATGGTTGTAGCAGCTTTAGTTCGTTGTCACGTGGGAGGGTGGCAGAAATACGCTGCAATTTGTTTAAAAAAAAACAAAACACCAAATCAATCTAAAAACACTTCAGCGACAAATACAAGGCCCACACATCACTCTTTTCGCTCTGAAAAGTTGATTTTACATGAGATGGGCCTTTGAGTAACAGAGCTTCAGACAGAGCAGTGCCTAAATTTCACACCCCACAGAATGTTGATGACGACAGCCGCAAAGTATCAAGAACCGAACGTGAATAACATAAAACATGTCACGTTTAAAACACTGAAGTCACCACGTCCTCCACAGATCTTATCTCAACTCTTTCCTCTCATTCACTTCAGGAAATTGTTTAAAAAAAAGAAAAGGGAGTTTCAGACAAACTGTTGTTTCCTGATTTCTCTGAGGAGCTCTCCCTGTTCAAAAAAGGTCATATTTTGATTTTGAATTGTTAAATTACTATGAAGACAGATGACGGTTGCCGTAACCTGAAAACCATGAATAGACGTGTATAATGTTTAATATTTGGGTGACCAGAATTTCAAAATAAAAAACTGGGACATCCCCGGTTTTATTTATATATTTATTTTTGGTGCTTGGTAATAATAAAATTGTGAAACAAATTGTGTAATTAAGGATTTTTTTTCTGCAGAGACCATGACTAACGTGTGCGTCACTACAGACACATTTTCTTTATGTTTTGGTCATTTTTTAACAGTGTTGGGAAGGTGACTTTTAAAATGTAATCCCCTACAGATTACAGACCTCAAAATGTAGTTTGTAACATAATCCATTAAATTACTTAAAGTGAGTAACGTAATCTGAATACTTTGGATTACTTGATTTGCTGTAGAGAAACAAAGACTAGGATATCGTAACATAAGATGTTTTGTCTGATAAAAAAACAATAAAAAGTCCAGACTTTACTGAACCGTATTAAAAATATTATTGATAGAAAAGGAGGAGGAGACACGTCCATTCAGCTTTAATCCTGTTAAATCCTGTTTAATCCTGTTTTAGGCCTGGTTTATACCTGGTTTATACCTGGATTAGATTTAGTTTAGACCTGGTTTAGTTTCCGGCAATGAGTGGAATTACGGAAAAAAAAAAAGCCCAAATAGCCCAAAATGTGAAAACAGGAAAATACCGCAGTGTAATCCATTTATTTCAACAAAGTAACTGTAATCCAATTACCTCATTGAAACAGTAACTGTAACCGAATACAGTTACTCATAATTTGTACTCTGATTACATAACTCTGGTACATGTAATCTGTTACTCCCCAACACTGTTTTTAAGCAGATTTTTTTTATATTTTACCTTAACAAATGACAACTTATTCAATTCAAGTTTTTTAATATAGCACATTTAAAACAACTTCAGCTCACTAAAGTGCTTCACACACAAATCACAAAAACAGAAGAAAACTTACATATACATATACACACACTGACAGTCAAAAGTTTTAGAACGCCCTCATTTTTCCAGTTATTTATCACAATTCAAGGCCAATGAAGAGCTGGAAATGGTACAAAGGTAAAAACTGAACAGACAAAGGTGAAAAAAAAAAAGATAAAAAAACAAAACACAAGTCCAAGCTCTGCCAAAACTGCTTCAGGAAAAAAGAACAAGATGGTAAAGTTTGAAAACCTGGAGTGTCCAGACTTAAACCCCGTGGAGCTGGTTTGGGATGAACTGGACTGAAGAGTGAAGCAACCGACAAGTGCCACACATTTAAGGGAACTTCTGCGACAGACTTGGGAAGAACTTTCTGAACGATATTTGATTTCTGTTGTAAAAAGAACGAGTGTGTTCAGCTGTTCTATCTGACAAAAGTGGACACACACAACAATCAAAAGTTAAGAAAACGTTTTGGTCAACTGTGAAAAACTGGAAAAAGTGAGAGTACTGTTACTTCATTACAAATATTACTCAAGTAGGAGTAAACGTTAGAAAAGTCCTCCTGTAGCCTGTTTATTCTAACACTCACTAATCTACCAAGAATGTTGCGTATTATGTAAAAGCGGCATTTAGAGGTTTTCAGATTCTTGAATGTTATAATGTCGTAAGATCCTGTTGATCACAATGAACTTTGAAATATACAAAAGGTCAAAACACAAATGTTGAACCTGATCAGTTCAGTTCATCTTTATTTCAGACTTATGCTCCATTTTTAAAATCAGACAAGGACAGTGACAATACAAAACAATCAACATTTAAGTTTTTAAACAGGGGTCCAAACTTTTTTCCCTGATCTTGACGAAGCAGATTATATTCTTTGTGTAGCAGAGATGGGGCTTCAAAAGGGGCTCCTTCACTTTTATTGATTTATTTACAACACAGGTAAGTCTGGCTTAAACACAGAACAAAGGCATTAAAGTGGAAAATATATGGTTCTTTATTTTAGTTAATATATTAAAAGAGCTCATTTTACACATTTTCTTTTAAAAAGATACACAATCAACACAACAGTTTTATACATAAAAAAAGGTGCTATAGTATTTTTTTAGATGCAAAGTGCTATGTGCGTGGCTTTACTGTTAGGACTTTATATGGTTTAAAGTGCTGTCCGCTATTGCACCACCCCCCAGCCGATCACTATAGCAATTATACTCCAACTACAGATACAAGAAACTACACAATCACTTTATGAGAGAATTTAAGGGACTTTGAGAATTTGAGAGCAGAATCTAGCAGCAGCAGCATAATCTGCCACACAGAGATACATCGATTAATACATGCCAACAAACCCCACCACCCCCAAACATGCACCACCCAGAGTCTCTTCCTCTCTCCTCTTCCTGCTCCAGACAACACCTTTAAATTTAAGCACCAGAAACAAGGCATTAAAACAAGTTCTAAGAAACACTGAAGGAACAACTCCAGTACTTACACACGCTGCATTTGCAAGCCTCGAAAGCCCCGACTGCCCCACTGCGGCGTGCGCAGTCTTTTCTAATCGCTTAATCAGTGACACCAGGAGCCAGGCGCAGCGACGCACAGGTGGACGTATTCACGGACGCACCACAGTCACAGAACAGTCTAACCACCCGGTTACATTTGAAAACCTCCACACTTTCTTTACAGATCAGACAAACTGCACCCTCCTTACACTGAACACAAGAAGAATCAGTCGTCCACTGTTCTTTGAAAACTCGGCATCTCTGTCAACTTTTTGTACTTTAACACTCAATGTTTTTCTGTCCTTAACTGCACTTCAGAACTCTGCACGTGTGTCTGTCACTGTTTGATCTCTGCAAATGTAAATATGTCATATAATTATTTAAATATAAATACTTCATATAAATGTAATATGCTGGAGGGACTATGTCTCTGGACTGGCCTGGGAACGCCTTGGGATCCCCCCGGAGGAGCTGGAGGACGTGGGCGGTGAAAGGGAAGTCTGGGAGTCCCTGCTTAGACTGCTGCCTCCACCACCCGGCCCCGGATAAAGCGGAAGAAAATGGATGGATGGATAATCGAAAAAAATCAACAAAATACCAGAGCGAGATGTGTTATTATTTGCCAGAAAATAATAAAAAATAAATAAAAATAGGCCATGACACTTTTGAGGATTGCGTCATAGGGCCAGTTCCAGCGGTGGAGGGACAAGGGCTGGGGGGCCGGTCAAAGGGGCATAGAGGGCCAGAATCAGCCCGTGGGCCTTAGTTTGATGAGCCCTTTTATAGACCTTTTAAAATCCTGTGTTATCCAAATGTTCAAAATGCTGGAGAGGAGGCGACTCGAGTCAAATATATATTTCCGTAATTAACTGTTAACGGATCTAAATGCTGATAGTTTTACATCTTTATAACAACAAAATAAACAACTATTTTGATTTTAAATATATATTTTTTTGTTTTCAGCTACATGACTGGCAAATAGATTGTAATTATGTTTTCATAATGTACAAAAAAACGAAATAAAAACATTGTAAAAAAAAAAAAAAAAAAGCTACAGAAACATTCCAACACAGAGAAAAGCATCAGACGGACGCTTCACTGGAAAAGTTACGCAGTGCAGCTTTAGATAATATTGATCTGTAGAGAACGAGATGTCACCTGAAAGCGTACTTCCATACTTTTTGTACTTCTTGATTCTGTGTTCGGCGTGTTCACTGTTCAGCACATGTGGGGTTAGGAAAGATGAACCCCCACAAAAAAAAAAAAAAAAAAAAAGGAAAAGGTTAAGCATATGATAAAAATCTGGTTTAGGATGCACAAACATGTTAAGAAGAAATAGGACTCTTTTGAGAGGAGGTTAGAGAAGCGGTGGAGATGATTATTTCTAAGAATATTCCAACAAATCCTGTTACGTTTATTTTCGGGATATATCCAAAAAAACAAAACAAACAAAAAAAAAAAACCCAAAAATTTACTAAAAGTGAACAAATTATTATCAATATGTATTTTTTTTTTACAAGCAAAAAGAACAATTTCAATATTTTGGAAAAAAAAAACTTGTAGACCCAGGTTCTTAATTTGACGGATGTTGCCGACGGTACTGAGATTACTCTGTAAACCTTTATTTTTATATATTTATTTATTATTATTATTTGTTTATGTATGTATATGTATGTATGTTTATATATATTTATAATTAGGCTGGGAAAAGAAAAAAAAAATGGATGGATGGCTGTAACTTAATTTTCTAATTGTGAGGTTGATCTGTCCTTGTTTTTTTTTTTTTTTTTTTCCATGTACATGACTGGCAAATAGGTTGTAATTATGTTTTCATAATGTACAAAAAAAAAAAAAAAAAATAAAAAAAATACAGAAACATTCCAGCACGTCCACAGAGAAAAGCATCAGACGGACCCTGCTACACTAGAAAAGTTACACAATGCAGCTTTAGATAATATTGGTCTACAGAACGCAAGATGCCACCTGAACCTGTACTTCTGTACTTTTTGTACTTCATGATTCTGCGTTCAGCGTGTTCACTGTTCTGCACATGTGGGGTTACAAAACAAAACAAAAAAAAAAACAAAAAAAAAAAAACGGTCAAGTGGAAATATTTGGGTCACGTGATTCGCTGGGAGGAGACAGTTTGTGCAAAGAGTGCGAGATTTTGACATGTGGAGAGAAGAGAAGAGGTGAGTACCGCTGCTTATTCCACTTTTCAACATCTTTTAAAGCGTTACTACAACTACTACTACTACTACTACTACTACTACTACTACGCGCTTGCAAATACGTAGTGTAGCGCGTGCGTCGTGTCCGCGCGCGCTCTCCAAACGCCAAAACTGAAGCGGAATTTGGACTTGTGGACACGGAGGAGTAAACACGGTGCGTGCACACAGACGCGTTTTTGTCCCTCCTTTAAAACAAAAAAGAAAAAGGTGAATAAAGCATGAAATCTAAATCGTTTCCTGTCGTTACTTGCTCGCTGCTTTCGGGGATTCGTGCGGCGTTTACCGTGTGATGAAGTTGATGGTTTTAGTCACGGATAAAAACTTTTGGGCAAGTGACGTCAAAACTCAAATGTGTTTTACATTTTTTTGACTTGTTTCTGTCGTTTTAAAGTATTTCGGTACATTACAACGTGACTGTGTTTAAAATATAAAACGTGACAGGAATATTACAGCAATTTAACTCAAATAAAATAACTGAGAAGATGAACTAAACCAGGTCTAGACCAGGTCTAAACCAAGTCTGAACCAGGACTGGACCAGGACTAAATCAGGACTAAATCAGGACTGAACCAGGACTAAACCTGGTCTAAACCAGGATTAAACCAGGTCTAAACGGGGACTGTACCAGATCTAAACCGGGACTGAACCAGGTCTAAACTAGGACTGAACCAGGACTAAACCTGGTCTAAACCAGGACTAAACCTGGTCTAAACCTGGTCTAAACCTGGTCTAAACCTGGACTAAACCAGGACTAAACAGGACTAAACCAGGACTAAACCTGGTTTAAACCTGGTCTAAACCAGGACTAAATCAGGACTGAACCTGGTCTAAACCAGGACTAAACTAGGTCTAAAAAAGGACTGAACCAAGACTAAACCAGGTCTAAATGTTTGAAAATAGACCATTCAATGACTATTTTAATATAATCCAGAGCGTCCTATAGTGTGGGAAATACGGTAAGTAAAAGTATTAGTAAAGTAAAATTATAGTATTATTACCTGTTTAACTTTCAACTTTATTATAGTTGTGCAGCAGTTTCAGATTCAGACACACAAAAAACATACAATACAATTCAGTAATACACTAAAATAATAATAATGATGCACTAAAACACTTAAACTGATGCTCAGGACACACTGTACATTCTCTTAAAATAGGCAAAAAGGAACAGGAAACGTAACCACATTTCACCACGACTCATCCAGGCTGTAAGAATAGAGAGTTCAGAGTCACTGTGAAATGACAAACCCTCCTCCACAAGTTACACAATACATCCTTCAATAAAGTACAGATATCTAAAATGTGTACTGAAGTATTGTACTTAGGGGTGTCAAATTATCGCGTTAATTGCGATTAATTAATTACAGTCATATTTAGCGCCTTATGTTTTTTAATTCGCGTTAATCTCATTTTTAATCTCTAACTTTAGTGTTTCTGTATGACGAGTTGCTTTATTATAAAACCTGTTTTTATGTGTTGTTGGGAACAACACACACACACACACACAAAACACATTTATAATTTTTTGTATTTCGGTAATTCCACTCATTGTCGGAAACCCACACAAAACGCGCGCAGTAATCGAGCGATGTAAACGTCATGTTTAACGTTGGCGGCGTCAGTCGCACAATGTACGAGGTGGAAGAGCCAGTAGAACAGAGCAGCAGTGCACAGGGAAAAACACATTCGTGTCTTGGAAATTATTCTCCCGACGTGAAATATAAAAGAAAATAAACAAATATAAAAATCGTCACTGGTGAAAACAACCTGCATAGACTCATGATGTCTGCACTACTGTCCTATACACACACACACACACACACACACAACACACACACACACACACACACACACACACACACACAAACACACAACACACACACACACACACACAACAAACACACACAAACACACACACACACACACAAACACACACACACACACACACACACACACACACAAACACACACACACACACACACACACACACAAACACACACAAACACACACACACACACACACACAACACACACACACACACACACACACACACACACACACACACAAACACACACACACACACACACGACAAACACACACACACACACATACATCATCATCATTAACCTGAGAACGCGCGGACCACGTTTCCTTCCGTAGTTACTGCGTGGACACAGACCTGCTCCCGTGAGCCGCGTGTGGATCGTGTTTTCTCGCGTACGCGGCGTAAACCGAGCTTCCTCCTGTGAGCCTCTAAACCAGAACTAACACCAAGACTAAAACCAGGACTAATCCAGTCCAGGACTAAACCAGGACTAAACCAGAACTAAAACCAGAACTAACACCAAGACTAAAACCAGGACTAAACCAGGTCTAAACCAGGACTAAAACCAGAACTAAAACCAGGTCTAAACCAGGTCTAAACCAGGACTAAACCAGGACTAAACCAGGACTAAACCAGAACTAAAACCAGAACAAAAACCAGGTCTAAACCAGGACTAAACCAGGTCTAAACCAGGACTAAACCAGAACTAACACCAGGACTAAAACAGGATTAATCCATTCCAGGACTAAACTAGGACTAAAGCAGGTCTAAACCAGGTCTAAACCAGGACTAAAACCAGTGATCTCATATATAAAGCATTTCTCTATCAATAATATTTTTAATATGGTTAAGGAAAGACTGGACTTTTTATTGTCTTTAAGTCGACAAAAGTTATTATGTTCAGATTTCCTCGTCTTTGCTACTTTACAGCAAACAGTTTCTTATTCATGGAGACTTGGGCTCAACAGACAAATTGGAGAGATTTGTTAAACAATAAATGACTTTATAAAGTCACTTTTTTAAATCTATATCAGTCTTTTGATCTGCCACAATAATGTAATAATGAATTTAAATGAAAATACCTCAAATTGAAGCTTTTCTCAGCAATTTTTAGGTGAGATTAAAATGAGATTAATTAGATTAATTAATTACAGATCATAATTAATTAATCTATAAATTATTTTAATCACATGACAGCACTAATTGTACTTTCACTTTTGTGCTTCGTTACCTTAAACTGCTGGGTCGTGCACATGTGGCTCAGAGAGATAAAGAGTGTGAATCACAATCAGCGGCTCGGTGGCTGAGCAGTCACACCTCACAGCAGGAGGGTGAACAGTTTTAGTCCTCGGCTGCCCGGGCCTTTCTGGGTGGAGTTTGCGTGTTCTTCCTGTGTCTGTGTGGATTTCCTCTATCAACCCAAAACATGCACCACCACAGGTTAAAAACCCTTCTCACTGAGAGGAGACAGGCTAACCACTCTGCCGCAGTGACACAGGGACAACATGTACAGTCCACGCTTTATCTCCACACAGAGGGCAAAGAGGAGGAGGAGTCAGTCAATGTGTTTTTGTTTCATTGATGGTGTTTGAATTGTGTTTCAGATGAGGTTTTGGAGGGACCAGTCTGCAGTTTAAAATGGACGTCAGCAGAGAAGAGTCACTGCTGCTGCGGAGGTAATATAATAATAATAATAATAATGATGCTAATGCTGATTTCTCTCTAGACACTTTATTACAGGGGTGTCAAACTCATTTTGGTCCGGGGGCCATATTCAACCTACTTTGATCATATAAACCCCAAAAATAACAATAAGTTCAAATATTTTTGTAAGGAAACGCAAATCTATTACAGAAATCTTTTTTAATTGTGGAACTCTTTCTTTTATAAAATATTATGAACAATCTGAAACTTTAAGAAAAATGCAATTTCAACACAAAGTTTTAACATGAACTTGTTTGTAAACAGGATTAAGTCAATTTTTCTTGGAAAATCCTGCACTCGGCTTCACTTTTCTCATGTTGGACATTTTTCTGATGAGGGTGTCACGGTCAACAGTCAAAACAATCGTCCTTTAAGAGCGTTTGGAAAGAGACAAGTCTTCATTTGTGCTGCTCTGGTGGGAGGGGCCACGTACAGAGACACTGGAGACGCTGTTATGCTGAGCACCGCAGAAAATTACCAGTATTTTAATAAAATATTTTAATTATATTTTCTAGTAGAAAATCAGCTGAGGGCCAGATTAAAGGTCTTGGAGGGCTGCATCTGGCCCCCGGGCCGCATGTTTGACACCTGTGCTTTATTAGGTCCACTGTGGTGCTGTGGAATAAACTCGTATTAGACATAAGCATAAAAATAAAAACAAATAAACTTGAAATATTTCAGTCTATGATCAGGGTTTGACTTAGGTGCACTCACACTAGGACTTTAGATTCATGTCGGGGCACAGATCGTCCCTAAAGCGCGGTATGTTTGTCCAGTGTGAGTTTAGTAGAACTGTACCCAGGCTGAGACTTTGGCCCGGTTGGAGGAGGTGGGCCAAAGCACGACACAGACTCATGTACGTGCACACACACGACTTCACTATACGAGCCCCGTGTGTGCGCTGATGTCACTCATACGATAAAAACAGTGAATAAAGTCATTCTAAAAACACACAGCGGATCTGCGCAGACCTTCAGGAAGGACTGCGAACTCACAGAGAAGCGTATCGCAGCAGGACTCTTATCTGTCTCACGATTTAATAGGTATTTTTGCCGCTGAAATATTTTCTCCACTAAAACGATAGATCATGTAACAGTGTTTCCCACAGAAAATTGGTTAGACAAGGCAGTGCTGCCGAAAAAGTGAGGAGCAGGATGGAGGGGATGCGCAGAGATTCCGTGCAACAACACTAGTTTTGCAGCTTGCGTTGAGTCGACACAGAACTATAATTCAGCCTTTAGACTTACACCTAGACTTAGACAAACTTTATTGATCCCCAAGGTAAAGTATTTGGCCACAGCAGCTCACAGCACATTATAATAACAAAGAGAAATGTGTGTAATAAATTCTAAACAAGTAGAAGCAGAAATAACAAAAGTCAGATGTCACATAAGTCTTAATTATATAAATGTATATGTGTATATATAAATATATAAATATAGTAATAAAAATGTTTCTCAGTTTGATACAAGACGTCATAAGGAAAACAGTGCAATAATGATTTAATGATTGACATAAACTGTGCCTCTGCTCTTTTTCAGATGCACCAAAGACTCTCTCAGTGATGTGTCTGTCAGATCCAAGACTCCTCCTCCAGAGTTCCCCAATAAACCACCTTCTCCTGGACCCAGTGAGGCTTCGTCCGGCTTCGTCTCCCTGAAGTCCGAGGCTCCGCCCCTAAACTTTTCTAACGAACCTGTAACCAAAAGATCAGAGTAAGACACTGCTTCTTTTGTCTCATGAGATCATATTATTTTTGGGTTTATATTATATTTGGATTTGACTTTCTGAAATGAGAAACAAAATATTGAACAGTTTCATTATATTATGTTTTTTTAGATGGACTAGTACACTTGGATTTGAACTAGGATTTGGATTTGGATTAGGACTAGGATTTGGATTTGGACTTAGACCTAGAGCTAGATTTGGATCTAGATCGAGACTTACACCCTCACCTAGACTAAGATTTAGACTTAAACCTAGACCTTGAGGTAGACTTAGACCAACACCTACACCTACACCTAGGGCTGTTGCGGTTAGGGAATTTCTCCTGCAGTGCAGTATGCGGTGATACCACTCCCCCTACTCCACTCCACTCACATCACCTGGAGTTATAATATTTCCAGTGACGCTGAAAACTCTCTGATGATGCGCTTGTTGCAGATGCACATGTACCTTGGTTGTCGTGTGGATATAGTGTATGTAGTGGAAGAAGTACCATTTGGCTTTGGAACAAGTGCTGCTGCATCTCTCTAGCTCTCACTGTGGCACCTCGGGTCAGAGTCCTGGACCTGCTCGGGTACCCGCAGACTTAAGAGAGAGAGAACCCCGAGCAGAGTGTCCGCAAAAAACGTGATCGGGTGACGGCTGAGTTTACCTCCATGCTGCATGGAGCTCTGCGGCGGTCCTTTCGCCTGTGGTCACCCGACGGTCTACGCGAGCACACCTTAGTCCTGGGTTAGTCCTGGGTTAGTCCTGGGTTAGTCCTGGGTTAGTCCTGGGTTAGTCCTGCGCACTAACAGGTGGAATGTTAATCTCTAAAAATGGACTTGTGCAGGACTCTGGGTTGGGTCACTTTGGTCACGTGCGGTGATCGCGGTGGACCTCTTAGTGCTGTGATGATTCATTTTTACGGTTATTGCGACAGCCCTACCTACACCTACACCTAGACATAGTTAGTGTAAGTCTCAGTCTAAGACCTAGACATAGAGCTAGACCTATACCAAAACCTAGAGCTAGAGCTAGACTTAGGTCTAGACTTACAGCAAGACCAGAGCTAGTCTCAGTCTCAGTCTCAGACTAAGACTAAGTCTAGACTTAGACAAACTTTATTGATCCTCAAGGCAAAGTATTTGGCCACAGCAGCTCACAGCACATTATAATAACAAAGAGAAATGTGTGTAATAAATTCTAAATAAGTAGCAGAAATAACAAAAGTCAGATGTCAAACAAGTCTTAGTTATATAAATGTATATGTAGATATAAATATAGTAATAAAAGTTTATCTCAGTTTGATACAAGAGGTCATAAGGAAAACAGTGCAATAATGATTTAATGATTGACATAAACTGTGTCTCTGCTCGTCTTTCAGACTCTGCACTAAAGACTCTCTCAGTGATGTGTCTGTCAGATCCAAGACTCCTCCTCCAGAGTTCCCCAATAAACCACCTTCTCCTGGACCCAGTGAGGCTTCGTCCGGCTTCGTCTCCCTGAAGTCCGAGGCTCCGCCCCTAAACTTTTCCATCGAACCTGTAACCAAAACATCAGAGTAAGACACTGCTTCTTTTTGCCTGAAAACCTTCTTTTCCTCGTCACAAACAGGCCTGGACTTGTGTTTTTTTTCATTCACACATGTTTAACACACAAACCCTTCTTCTCTGAAACAGAAAACACTCTGTTCCACCTTGTGAATGTCATGTGGTAATACAGGAAGTGCTCCACTGTGTTTTTAAACTCCACACGCCTTCATTTGGACAGAATCATTTGGATGATTTCAGCCCAGGAATTGCCGATCTCTACTGAACGTAAGGCAAAAGGAGCTGTTAACTACCACTACATGACATCACAAGGTGGAACAAAGCATTTTGAGCTTTGGACACGTAGACAGACTAATAATAAAGTGTTACTCAAACGTGTGAATGGCCACATTTGCATGATGTTTTTTAATTCCAAATTAATTGTTCCAAATTAAAATATTCTCCTTCAAGTTTACTTTGAAATAATAATTCTGAATTGAAGTTTACATGGAAAACTCGTTAAATTGTCTTCATTTAATCCCACTCAGCGTCTGGAGGTGGGGAAGGTTTTGATTGGACAGAGACACCAACATATTTATGTCGACCGGAAGAAAACACACTTCAGCTGCTACCGGCTTTTCTGTCATCTCGGTTTGTCGTTACTCCACGGACACAAACACGGTCCAAACTTTTCCCGCAGTGGTTCTGATGATAATTGTGAAGCAGCAGCTGGATAATTGTCTCATCCCGCTTACGTCTGTCGGCTGAGGAGGAGAAGGGAAGAGTGTCGGAGAAGGAGGAGAAGACAAAGTGAGAGTGAGGCTGCTCTACCTCGGGCCACTCCCACATCCCGCTCACAAATCCAAAGTCCAAAGCCAGGACTGGAGCTGGATCAAAGGGCGACACAACGAGCATGCACTGAACGACTGGAATTATTTTTAAGAAGAATAAACGTTTACATGATCAAAGGAATAAATTAATTCGACTGAACCACCCGCTTACTTCGGAATTAAGTTCATGTTCATTAGGAGTTAAGTGTTTACATGGTGTTTTTAAAGCGGAATTAAATTGTATTCAGAATTAAGTGATGATTGAATGATGATTTTTATTTGGAATCAAAGCTCTCATGTAAATGTGACAAGTGATATTCATAGATTCAAAGGTGACACATTTCAGTTTGTAGCCGTGTTATAAGCACATTAAACAACTTGGTGCCATTTGTTTAAAAAAAAGGGAGTTATAGAATTATAAAACAGATTGTTTTTATTTCCCCACAGGCGCCGCAGCTGTTTAAAACGTGACACTGAAGACTGGCTGGACTTCCCCACAGCACAGAGTAAGTAAATGTACATTTTAAACTCTATTTCAGCTCTGAGCAATTGATACTGTGCACTGACGTCACGCTGGGGGTCCACTACATGTATCTCTGTTATTATGACCAAACGTCCTTTATTTCAGGATCAGGATCGTGCAGCGACATTTACACAGTTAAACAGTTTGACAGACGAGTTACTTTATGAGTAAATACACAAAATACTTTCACGTTAAAGATGATTAAAGTATAACTGAAAACAAAGTTTTGTTCATTTAACGTGTTAAGAGTCTGTGCCAAGGCCACAACAAAAAGAAGGAGGCGAGAGGTTGGATTTTAAAATAAAATCTATTTATGAGCTACCATATTTTTTGGTCTATAAGTGGCACTTTTTTTCATGGTTTGGGTGTTTCCAGCGACTTTCACTCCGGTGCGACTTGTATATTAAAATTTTCAGACTTACAGCTGTGAGAGGCTCTTGTTTTACACTAAAAGGGAAAAATGAAATAACAAACTGTATTTCCATTTTATTGTTTTTCATTCTTAATTGAAATTCAAAAGAACGAAAGGTACTCGGACCTCCAACCGAGAAGTTACACAGTGCACCTTTAATGTACATTATCGAATGAATAAATCTGAATAAGTGTTTCGCGTGATTCTGTTTCGCGTGATTCTGTTTCATTTGATTCTGTTTCGTTTGATTCTGTTTCGTTTGATTCTGTTTCAGGTGATTCTGTTTCGGGTGATTCTGTTTCGTTTCGGGTGGTTTTAAGGAGGAACTGTGGCGCAGATGTGACAGAGTGACTGAAGGTTTAGAAGGAGCAGGAGATAGAACGTCTCTGCTGAAGATCTACACAGAGCTGTACATCACACACAGCCACAGTGAAGACGACTGCACCCAACATGAACTCACCAGGCTCCAGGCCGAGTTTGGGACCGGGACCAGCCAGCAGGTGGCAGCACTCTCAGATTTACTCAGGCATTTACTTTTAACTTTTAATCTGTACTTCGTAGCAAGGGTGGAAAGTGACAAATCACATTTAATCATGTTACCGTAATTGAGTAGTTTTAATGAGTAATTCGGATTTTTAAAGTCATTTTTGAAATAGGTAATTTTATTTTTACTCAAGTACATTTTGACTGAAGTATTTATTTCATTACATTGGAACACACCCTCGTTACTGAGTAAAATCAGATTGATAGAGAAAAAAAAATTACAATCTGCCGGAAATGAAAGGAAATTGCTGCATGTGCGGTTATTTTCACTACAGAATGTAGAGTCACTGTGCAGAAGCGTCAGTCCACAGATTGAGGTCGTCATGGTCGATATTCAAGAAGAAGGTGCACTGAATAATTCTAGAGACAAAAGCGAAGGAAACCCTCTGCCAAACCTCGGACAGATATTTGTGTTCAAATGCAAAATAGGGAATATCATAATAATGTGTTAAAATAGTCAGTGTTGCTCAGTCTTTAAAATGTACAAAGTTTGCAGTGTATCTCCTAAAAGTTGATGAAAACAACTTGTGCTGGTTTAGATTTATGACTCATTCTTTTTTACATCAAATAATTGAAAGTAACTAAGTCACTTTTACTCTAATTACATTTTAAATGAAGTACTTTTTTACTTTTACTCAAGTAGATTTTTAGATGGTTAGTTTTACTTGAGTAGGAATTAAGCAAAGTAAACATACTTTTACTTTTTTTTCTAATTTTTCACTACTTTTCCCATCTCTGCTTCGTAGTAGTTTTAAACATCATAGTTGCCATGTTTATATGAGAGCTTTAATTTCACATAAAAATAATTTTATTTTGACTAAAAATTGATTCCCCTTTAAAAAGTCCATGTAAACACTTAACTCCTAATGAAAATGATTATTCAGAATTAAACTTAATTCTGAAATAAGTGGGTGCTTTATTCTGATTTTTAAGCCGAATTAATTTATTCCTCGATCATGTAAATGTTTATTCTTCTTAAAAATAATGTCAGTGGTTCAGCTCATGCTCGTTGTGTCGTCCTTCTGACGTGATCCAGACGATCCGTCTCCTCCAGTCCTGGCTTCAGACTTTCATCCACGTCTCCATGTTTACTGGTTGTAGTCGGCCCAAAAATGTTTGAACTTTATTTTCACACAGCTGTTTTGTTAAATAACAGTTACTTAACACATTTGGATCAGTTTTGTCTCGTTTTATTTTAGTTTAAAAATATGCCGTTGAGAATCTCTGCACTGATATCGGTTGGTATCGGGTGGAGACTTGAAGCCAAAGTATTGGAATTGGTATCGGAATTGAAAAAGCTGCATCTGTGCATCCATAATTATTTATTCTTTTGTCTTTCCAATAACATTAATTTCAACTTTATATCATTTCTTGGACCACTTTGCACTTTATACTTTGCACTTTTACTTGAGTAATATTATTTTGAAGTAACTTTACTCTTGAATAATACTCTGTCTCTGCCAACAGGAGACGCCCATCCGCTGCCAGGACATCTTTAAAACCCTCTGCCGTCCGATCACAAGCCCATCAGGGTGGTGCTGACCACCGGCGTGGCTGGTGTGGGCAAGACCTTCTCAGTCCTGAAGTTCTGTCTGGACTGGGCCCAAGGTTCAGAGAACCAGGATCTGGAGCTGGTGGTGCCTCTGTCCTTTAGGGAGCTGAACCTGGCGAGCAGGAAGCGCTACAGTCTGCTGAAGCTCATAAAGGTGTTCTACCCCTCCCTGCACTCTCTCTCCGCTCAGACTCTGCTCCACGGTAAAGTCCTGTTTATCTTTGACGGCCTGGACGAGAGCCGTCTGCGTCTGCACTTCAGATGTGAGGTCATCTCTGACGTCACGCAGGAGTCAGACATCGGCACGCTGCTGGTGAACCTCATCAAGAAGAAACTGCTTCCTGATGCTCTTGTTTGGATCACCTCTCGCCCGGCAGCGGCCGATCAGATTCCTGCGAGCCGCGTACATCGTCAGACTGAAGTGCGGGGGTTCAGAGACTCTCAGAAGGAGGAGTACTTCACAAAGAGGTTCTCAGACGAGCAGCAGCGTCAGAAGGTCCTGTCCCATGTGACTGCCTCCCACAACCTCCACTCCATGTGCCAGATCCCCGTCTTCTGCTGGATCACCGCCACCGTCCTGGACCACATGTTGAGACGTGCTCAGAGTGGAACCCTGCCCCAGACCCTCACTGACATGTATGCACACTTCCTCCTCGTGCAGACTCTGAGGACGCGCAAGTACAAAGCTGAGAGCGCCGCCCTCAGTGAGAGCGACTGTGAGGTCCTCTTGAAGCTGGGCAAACTGGCCTTTGACCATCTGCACAATGGAAACATCATCTTCTACCAGGAGGACCTGCTGAAGGTGGGCCTGGACCTCACCGAGGCCTCTGTGTACTCTGGACTCTGCACCGAGGTCATCAAAGAGGAGAACATCATCTTTCAGAAGTCGGTCTACTGCTTCATCCATCTGAGCGTCCAGGAGTTTCTTGCTGCTGTCTTCATGCTCCACTGCTTCAACTACAAAAAGACACAGGAAATCCGGAGCTTTCTCTGTGACTGGGAAGAGGACATGCCACTCGACGTCTTTCTCCAGAAGTCCATGGAGAAGTCCTTTGAAAACGAAAGTGGGCGTTTGGACCTGTTTGTGCGCTTCCTTCACGGCCTCCTGCTCAAGTCGAACCAAAGGCTGCTCAGGGTTCTGCTGGGCCCAGTTCAGACGGACTCTCAGATGATTCAGAAGATCACCCAGAACCTGAGGGACCGGAACACTGGAGGGATCTCTGCCCCCGGGAGCATCACCGTGTTCTACTGCCTGACTGAGATGAACGACCACACGGTTCACCAGAAGATCCTGAACCTCCTGAAGAGAGAATTTAAATCCAACATCTCGTATTTCAATTGCACGAATCTGGCCCACAAACTGCAGATGCCACAGGAAGTACTAGAGGAACTGAACATCAAGAGGTTCAGCACAATGCCTGATGGGAAATGGAAACTGACACCACCAGATACCTGCAGAGAAGCCACGTGAGTGCAACTAAGATTCAATTAGCAAATCACAAAGGCTGCAGTTTTTCAAGTACCGTATTTTACAGACGATTAGGCGCACTGGATTATAAGACCCACTGTCTTTAAATGGTCTATTTTCGAACTTTTTTCACAAATAAACTGCACTGGACTTTAAGCGAAACACAACAGTTTGATGGGTCAGTCGGACTTTGTTTGTTCGTTCACGGTGACTCTGGGCTTTTTTCAGTTGTGGCGCGTAGGGAGGGTGCTGTCTGGGACCAATGGATCGGTTGCGATTAGGGAAGGGCATTCGATGAAATTTTCTTAATCGATCGTCGGTAGAATTAACGATCGATTATCGATTAATCATTAACGTTTTTATACAAAAATGATCATCATTATTATTACTATCTGGACTAATCTGCATAAATAAATTCAACTTTACGACATATAAACTGTAATCACTCTAGAGCCACATCAGCCCGTTTTAGATTATAATGTGTTTAATTCAGTTTTGTGCAAGTCTCACAGAAACGAAACTTAAAACAATATCACTAATTTACATAAACTAAGTGAAGATAAAACTACAGCTCTTGTGTCGCTGATGTGGTTCAACTTCTGTTGGATTAAAAGACACGACTCAGGTGAATACAGGTCAGTGTGACCAGATTTGTGTTTGTCAAAACCAGGACGGGGGGAGGGGGGCGGGGCCTCGTCATCCACATTGAGCGACTCTCACCTGGAAAAACTTTTTCCCACTGGACACAGACACATATGTGCTGCTTTGTGCACTGTGCACATGGACTCACACTTGTCCCGACCGGAAAGCCTGGACTTTCTTGTACAAGTCATCGTTGCACATCGTTCGCATTTGCACTTCAGTACGTTGCAGACTGACCGACATATACGGACCTGTTTGGTCACGCTACGCACAGCAACCTACATTTGGTTTGTCAATTAAAATGAACATAATCGATGAAATTCTTAATGATCAATTATCGATTAATCGACTAATCATGCCCATCCCTAGTCGCGATGACTCAATTGGTCAGTTGTGACTCAGATTGGCTCATAGGACTCTTTTTCGGTTCGTTCCTCTGTTCCGTTCCTCGTCGGCGTGGAGTGATGAGTGTGTCTGTGGGTGTGTGTCGCTGTGCAGTCGCTGTCTGCTCTGTCTGTGTTTGCGGCTTTATAGTTTACTGAAGTCGTGCTGGGACACCCGAGTGGATTCGTGTATGGGGCGCTCTGAATTGCATGATGCGCGATCGTTTTTTAATGCGGTTAGAGGCTTAAGACCGCAGCTAATCACCTGGAAAATATGGTAACTTATTCTTATTTTGCATAAAACCCTGTCGTAGGGATGCACCGGTCTGAAACTGGTAACAGATATCAGTGCTGATACTGAAAAATTTGCTAGATCAGATATTGGCTTCCAAATATTGATTGAGTACTCATCCCAGAAAGTCTCATAATGTTAGAATTTTTTTAACACAAAGTTGTTCTGTGGGTGTGGTGTTTGTGTGGTTAACATGAAGTTACAGGGTTAAGTAGTTCTGTTATCAGCACTAAAACAGCTTATCACCGTGTTTATAAAAGAAGTTCTGATGCTAAAGTAACATTAGTGAGGGGAATACATCTTAGTGACCCGCATGCGTTAAATCAGGTGAGTGCGTAAATTCATTCATTCATTTATTTGTTTGAGCCAGGTACAACAAAATTCAAAAACAATAACCAAAATAGTGATATGGGACCTGGTGCTCAAAAGGAGTAGGATGAAGTTTAAAACACTTATGGAGTCTTACCCCAATTGTTTTACATAATCACGTGGTTCACATTTTTTTTTTTTTTTTTTCAAATTACGAGAAGAAACGTCTCAAACTTCAGCAGCCGCACATCCACTCATACCTGATCCATACACCTCTCCCCGCCCCCGGGAGAGTCTGAAATCTGCTGAAATCCTCCAAAACACTGACATGACGCAGACAGAACAGAGACTCTTTCTGCAGGAGACATGCGCAGTAGCACGGGGAGAGACGGGGTGATGATGCGCCGAGGAAGATGTTCGTTGATTGTGTTTTTGAACAGTTATTTAGCGCTTCATACACAAACCCTCCTCATGGAAAACACACGAAGAAATGCAGATGATGCAGCTTTTAAGTTAAAGGGCCCGTCTCACGCAAAATCAACTTTTCAGAGCTTTCTGCCTTCTAAGAGTGATGTGTGGGCCTTGTATTTGTCGCTGCAGTGGTTTTTAGATTGATTCAGCGAAATTGCAGCGTATTTGTGCCACCCTCCCAAATGACAACAAACTAAAGCTGCTACAACGATGACGCGGCAGATATACCTATGATGTGTTTGACGTAGCAGAAAATACTTCACACCTGCCGCCGATAAAGTTGATTGATGTGGCTGTGGAAGAAGGAAACAGAGCTGCTGTACGTGAGCTCGACATAAGTGAGTCGATGGTGAGATTTTGGAGACGCAAAAAGACGACAAAAGCGTTCAGAGGTGATAAAAGCAAACTGCTGAACTTGAAAACGCTCTTGAAGACGTGGAGATCTGCCACTGCCACTTATAGACAGGTGCAGCCTATAGGCGAGTTTCAGCTGACGTCATTGTTATTAAAAGCCCGCGTTGCATGCTGGGAAATATTTTGGTCGGAGGCAAGAAACACGGTAGCGTCAAACACAGTGCGTAACCTCGCGTATTTCTCCCGATTAAATTCCTGCTGCATAATAGAAGCACGGATAAATTCTGGATGTGCTCGAATTCTGAGTCCATGGAAATTTTCACGGTATCGCTGAATCCCAAACCAACTCCAAGCCTCTTGAATTTAATGTTTCATTTTGGATTTTATTTATTTGATGACCAGAAGCCACAACTGCGCAAATTTTTCGTCCATTAACCTTGACAGGAGAAATGCATTGTACATCAGGTTGTAGCAATCAGTCTAATTTTCCACCTGCTCGTCCCTGGAACAGTGTTCATTGATTGATTGTATTTAACAATGACCTTGACTATCAACTGTTCTGGAGACCTGGAGCATGTTTGGGTTGAATTAAACATTTTTATCTCAAAACCTAGTCCACATGAGGCCTGAATATATATATATGTATGTATGTATGTATGTATGTGTGTGTGTATATATAATATATATATATATATATATATTATATATATATATATATATATATATATATATATATATATAAATAAAAAGAATAGATATCTTTTAGAGGGTGTGATTCTAATACCGTGTGTGTTTTGTCAGGATTTTGTGGAGCGGTCTGTCTCGGGAGCACGCCGCTGTCATTGGCTCTGCTCTGAAGTCTTGGTCTCCTCTGAGGAGTCTGGACCTTTGGCTGCGCGACCGTGGAGCTCTGGAGGAGTTCTGTGAAGGACTGAAGGACCCACGCTGCCGACTGGAGACTCTCAGGTTGTTCAGACACAATGCACATATTAGGAAACACTGTCAGAAGGAAGCAAGGAAAGAGAAATAAAAAAAAACCCATAAAACCAGAGATACGCTGCTGATCTTTCCTGGTGTTTGTTTCTTTTGTGTCCAGGCTGCACCACAGCCGTCTGTCGGAGGCCAGCTGTCTCTGTTTGGCGTCTGCGCTGAAGTCAAACCCGTCACACCTGAGAACCCTGGACCTGAGCTGGAACGAGGAGCTGCAGGACCCCGGGGTGCTGCAGATCTGCTCCTACCTGCAGAGTCCAGACTGTCGCCTCCACGAACTCGAGTCAGTCCTACATTTACTGCTTAAAAGACACATATTCACAAAAATATTACCTCACCAAAACAGAACTGGAGCTGTGCTGTATTTAGCTCGACTCATGCTGGTTTTTAGTAATTCTCTGCATAAAGTCTTTTGCCTTTGAGCCTCATAAAATGCATGTTTTAGGAAGTGAGCGTGGGCACGACTCTGGCTCCATCGAACTCACCTACTCCACTTCTTTATACTCCGGGGTAGAAGTCGAACCAGCCAAAAAATACGTAATGAAGAAGAAAAATAAGTCGCTATAAGTTGCACTTTTTGGGGGAAATTTGTTTTATAAAATTAGAGACCAGGAACCGACATTTCCCGTGTAAAGTCAAGTTGTAGTAAAAACAATAGAAAGAGAGAACAACAGACTGTTAACGTCACATATGAACAGTTCTTCAGGTAATTATAACATAAACAACAGAACAGAACAAGTTTAACAAACTCTCCATCTCACTCCAAATCACTAAATCCATTCAGTTCTTCATCCTCGGTGTCACTTCTGAACAACTCGGCCTCGACCTCCGGAGGTAAACAGATTCCAGTCGATCAATTATTCGGGTCTTTCTGAATCCCGACAGGATGGTTTTGGTGTCACTTCAGTCCAGACTTTGTCCATCCATCCAGTGACTTCAGGAAAGTTTCATGGTGCATCCTCCCGGAGTTTCTCTCTCACTCCAAACTTTCTTTCTGCTGCTCGATTTCCGTTTTCAGTAGCAGATTTCACGACTTGCAGTTTGTAATCTGTAAAATCTGGCTTTCTTTTCGGGGGCATTTGTGTTCAGTCTTCTCAGTCTTTGTCTGTTTGTGTAAATGTTAAATTGTTCAGTGGTGCAGAAGTAACGGTGCGATGGACTGACATGACACAGACAGAACAGAGGCTCTTTCTGCAGGAGACATGCGCAGTAGAGCCAAGTGACAGTGGTGCAGGAGGAACAGGAGCAGCAGATACTCACACACAAGACTAGAACCTCTCCACACTTCACTTTTTAATATAGAAGTCACACCTGAGTATAAGTCGCTGGACCACCTAAATCATGAAAAAAGTGCAACTTATAGTCTGAAAAATACGGTAACTGAAACTTAAATTTACCTGTTTTCTTTTTATTTTATATTTTTTGTTTTAGAACAGAAAATCACCCTTACAGTAAAATGTAAAAATGGGTAAGGTACAAACCCGAGGCACTCCGACCGAGTAAATAAAAAGTCCTTTATTGCATTAAGGTTCGCCAACGCATTTCAACCAGCAAGATGTGCTTCGTCAGGGCAAAGTAGTCATATTTTTTATTTTGTTTTGAGTCATAAACTAGTGTTGGGCGAATGGAGCCTCGTGAAGCATTGACACCTCAGTCACAATATTGTCTCAAATGATTGGACGTGTCTGAGGCCTCGGAGAAACACTGACCTCTAGTGGACAAATTTAACCATTGTCACACAGGTGTCTCAGGATCGATGAAATATTGTTAGTGTAAGACAAAACTTGTGTGCAGAGCGACACCGTACCTAACAACAACAATAATAATAACTATGATTTAAAATAATATGTAAAGAGCAACATAAATAGCAGCTGTAAATAATAAAATAGGTGTTTCCTTGTTAGGTGGAATTAGATCAAAGTGATCCCAAACCATGGATCGCTTTTTCCCACTTGTAGACGCCATCGAAAATAAAACAAATGCCAAAAGTCACCAAAATCACCACTAACGTCACACAATCCTCCTCACTACCCAACATTTTTAAGAAATATTGGTGCATCTTTTATACTGTAGCAGTTTAGTGCTCGTCAAACCACAGAAGTGCGCTGAACACTCTGAACCAATCACAGAGCGGAACATTCGCCGAGCCAATGAAACGCTTCGATACATTGAAGCGACTGACACAGAGTGAAGCAGCAGGGGGAGGGACCGACACTTCCACACTTTGGTCACGTGAGCGGCTGCTGCGAGACGAGCTCCGAGGCAGAGCGCCAGAGCAATTTGTTTCAGAAAGAACGAGACGTGCTCCAGAGCTCCGACTCATTTGCCCGTCACTATCATAAACCTCTTCTCTCTCAGGTCGCTTCCACACCGCTAATTTGACTATTTATAAGAGACCACCTCTTTTTTTTGAGGCCTCGGTCCGGTCTGCTGTTGGTTCTGAAGGCTGTTAGATCATGACATGGTTTTGGAGCCCGTGTATAGTCCAGATTATAGATAGTTGATTCCTAAATCAGTTGCGTAGTGTGGTTAATGGTTTTGTTTTACTTTGCCTTAACCGTACAATAACTTTTCCCTGTTTATTTGACATTTTGAAGAGTGCGCCCCTTGTGTCCAGGCTGGAGAACTGCAGGCTGGGGGAGGGCAGCTGCAGGGCCCTGTGCTCTGCTCTGACGTCCAACCCGTCTCACCTGAGAAAGCTGGACATGACGGAGAACCAGCTGAGCGACGCTGGACTGGAGCATTTCTGTGAAGTTCTGAAGATGCCTCACCTCCAGCTGGAACGTCTGGGGTCAGAAAACTGCTCCTCTGCTTTTTGATTTTCAGAATGTGAGATAGTCGTGCTCAGGGTTTTAACACATGACACGTTAGATCACCAACAGTTATTCGCCAAAAAACAACATATTAACACGTTTTATAAGTTTAATCTTTTGAGTCCCCTTGCTTTACTCTCTGCGCTCAGTCACTCCCCCTTCAGAGCACTATCACAGCAACCTTCAGAGTGCGTCCCAGTAATGAAACTCCTGCACATCGCATCAGGTTTGTGACGTTGTTGAGCACAGTTTTCTGTCATGTTTTTGTATATTTATGGTCGTGTGGGAGCGTGAGGGACGTGGGCTCGTGGGCGGAGCCTCGTACAGACTCGTACAGCTAACCGTAAAGAGTAGGGGTGTGCAAAAATATTGAAATATCGATATATCGTAACATATAATGTGATGATACAGTATCGATATCATGGCTGCTGGATCGATATATCGCCAAGAGTATTTTTTGGTATATTTAACTAAATTACTTTCTTACAGCTACAGTTTTGTTGCTTGTTTAGAGGAAGGAAACTCATTTATGCGACACATTTGACATTTTCACTGTTTTGATGATTAAAATGTTTGGGTTTGATATAGGGTTGTCCCGATCCGATCACGTGATCAGAAATTGGCGCTGATCACGTGACTGCGGACTCGATCCGGACTCGGACGTTAAGGTCCGATCAGATATCGGTTAAATAATATACGTATGCATATAATATACACAGCACACTCTTTTTTTTTTTTTTTTTAACTGAGGCGCATGGGATTTGTTCAGGGACGTCCAGTCTGTCTGTCCCAGCGTCTGTTGTATTAGAAACGCACTCACTCTGGGACTTTTGGGTCCTGTCGTGCTCGTGCTGTTACCTGTGGTTCTGTTGCCCGTGTTCACACCTGCGATGTCTCCGATGGCGTCACCGCACAGTGTTTGTTTGCGTGTTGCGCAGTGGAGCTGGTGCTTTTGGCAGGTGAGGGTCCGTCCAGCGGTGTGAAGTGTCTATTGAGCGGTGGGACCGATGTTGCGGTGTTGCTCTGTGGGGATGTGGTGTCGGTCGGGGGACAGAGGCTGTGGAGTTTCTGTCATCTTGTTTTTATTTGGTAAGATTTGTATTATTTGGATTTCAATAGACTCCCTAAATGTTTTTAAAATAACGCACATGCAACATATATTATAAATATCAAAATCCACAAAGTAAGATTGTGCAGAGTTTTATTTATTTATTTATTTATTTCAAACAGGTATATTTTGACTTTAATTCATAAACAGTCATATTTAACATATACAGACGAAAAGGTGCAGGCTGAAGTTTAAATTTAAGCCTTTCCCGCAAAAGAAATTCCTTTGTCAGAGCTTCATCTTGACATCAGAAGATCTTCATAAATAAGCAGGAGAAACAAACTAATCAGTAACAAGATTCAATTCCAGCATGGCACAAACAAACTAAGTCTCATATTTAATGACTGTCCTGGTCCACAACATTAAACTTCTTTATGACAGTTGAAACTTCTTTTATTAAGTGAAAGAACGTGCACTTTAGCAGATTTCCTATGTCCTGTTAAAAGATTTTCAACAAAGAAAATGTTGCTGCTGCGTTTTCTTTTTAATAAACAACTGGTCGTCGCGCCTCTCATCATTGGCTCTTTCGGATTTTGAACATGTTCTGTAACGATTTCGACAGATTGTTGTTTACTCATTGAACATGATTTTAAGAGTGTAAAGGTAAAGACTAAATCATAAAATTTCAGCGTTTGAAGGTTTATAAATAATGCATTGGTTGGTTCGTTATAATTGATAATGTTTGCTCTTATTCTCCTTTTTTGCAGGTAAAGATTGGCTTTGTATTCGTCTTATATGTATTGCCCCAAATCTCAACACCGTAGGTTAGTGTTTACAAGTCATGTGCAGTATATATAATAAAAAGACTGTTTTTATCTAGGGTATATCTATATTTATATACGTAATTGCGATCACTTTGGAGGGTTGGTTTCCTAATTGTATTGAGTCTCAGGTCTGATCTGGTTCTGGTCTGGTTCCTGTTTTGTCCAGTTCATTAAGTTTATAAATTTACACATTCCAAGACCAAACTGTGGTAAAAGTCAAGATTTTCAACAATGATGGTTCATGGTTAGAAAAGTTAATAATTTTGGACATTTGATTTTTCACGAGTTCAGTCATATATTACACATGAAATCAACACAATCTGATCCCGCACACGTCCTGGATCTGATTCTTTGCTCTTAGTTCATTTTATAATGTTTAGAGAAGTATCGGATCAGGATTCGGTATCGGCAGATTCTCAAAACCAAATGACTCGGACTCGGGGGCAAAAAAATGTGATCAGGACATCCCCAGTTTCATTTGAACTTTACACAAGACGTGGTTTAACAAAGACTTTCAGTATCACAGACAGGATTTAGCTTTTATTTTTTATTGAACCGTATTGAATCGATTTGAAATATATCGTATCGAACTGAAACTGCATTGTATCGAGGTATGTATCGTATCGGCAACTTCTTAATAATACCCAGGTCTCAGTGTTGGGGAGTAACAGATTACATGTACCAGAGTTATGTAATCAGAGTACAAATTATGAGTAACTGTATTCAGTTACAGTTACTGTTTCAGTGAGTGGTAATTGGATTACAGTTACTTTGTTGAAATAAATGGATTACACAGAGGTTTTTTCCTGTTTTCACATTATTTTTCTTTTCTTTTTTTTTTCTTTTTGGTAATTCCACTCATTGCTGGAAACTAAAACCAGGACTAAACCAGGACCAAACTAGATCTAAACCAGGACTAAAACCAGGTCTAAACTAAACTAAAACCAGATCTAAACCAGGACTAAAACCAGGTCTAAACTAGATAAACTAAACAAAAACCAGGACTAAAAACCAGGTCTAAACTAGATCTAAACCAGGACTAAAAACCAGGATCTAAACCAGGACTAAAACCAGGTCTAACTAAACCAGGTCTAAACTAGATCTAAAACCAGGTCTAAAACCAGGTCTAAACTAGATCTAAAAACTAAAACAGGTCTAAACTAAAACCAGGTAAAACCGGTCTAAAACCAGGTCTAAAACTAAATTTAAACCAGGTCTAAACTAGGGATTAAACCAGGTCTAAACCAGGACTAAAACCAAGGTTAAACTAGGATCTAAACCAGGACTAAAACTAGATCTAAACCAGGAAAAACTAGATTTAAACCAGGTCTAAACTAAAGGTCTAAACCAGGTCTAAACCAGGTCTAAACTAGATCTAAACCAGGTCTAAACCAGGTCTAGATCTAAACCAGGACTAAACCGGATCTAAAACCAGGTCTAAACCAGGATTAAAACCAGGTCTAAAACCGGGATCTAAACCAGATTCTAAACCAGGAAACTAAACTAGGACTAAAACCAGGTCTAAACTAGATCTAAACCAGGACTAAACCCTAAACCAGGTCTAAACTAGATCTAAACCAGGACTAAAACCAGGTCTAAACTAAAACCAGGTCTAAACTAGATTTAAAACCAGGTCTAAACTAGATCTAAACCAGGACTAAAACCAGGTCTAAACTAGATCTAAACCAGGACTAAAACCAGGTCTAAACCGGGACTAAAACCAGGTCTAAACCGGGACTAAAACCAGGTCTAAACCGGGACTAAAACCGGATTTAACAGGACTACACCCTGCTGCACGGACGTGTCTCCTCGTCTTCTATCAATAATATTTTTAATATGTTTAAGTATCCTGATCTTTGCTTCTCTACAGCAAATCAAGTAATCCAAAGTATTCAGATTACGTTACTCACTTTAAGTAATTTGATGGATTCTGGTACAAACTACATTTTGGGGGATGTAATCTGTAATCTGTAGGGGAATACATTTTAAAAGTCACCTTCCCTGGTCTAGTGAGGAGAGATCATTTTAAACCTTGTTACAGTGTCGTACGTGTGTAAAAGTTTGTGATTGGTGTTCGTTCTTTTCAGGCTGGATAACTGTGGCCTCTCCGAGATCAGCTGCTCTTCTCTGGCCAAAGCTCTGAGCTCAAACCCACAGTCCAGGCTGAAGGAACTGGACCTGAGCGTGAACGGCGTGAAGGACTCGGGGGTGGAGCTTCTGTGTGAATACCTGAGGACGCCACACTGCCACCTGGAGGTCATCAAGTCAGTGCAACGTCTCTGATCCGTGTTCTGACCACGTTTAAAGGTTGTATGGAGGATTTTTTTTGTTTCAAATTGTCAGTGATAGATTATAGAGATGCAGTAGCCTTGTAATTATGATGACCAAAAAAAAGAGAATAAAAATTCATCAACTCTGGACGTGGTGGGGCTAAACATTTGCCAATAGATAACGACACTGCCTCGTTATCTGTGAGCTGACAGGCTGTCAATCAAACTCCCTACGTTTCTAGTGTAACTGACTTGCCTGCGCTGCCGGTACGTGGTTTACGTACGACTGTCACACAGTCCACAGACGCAAGACGCACAGACGCTGTTTACTCCACCAACGCAACAGTTCTTAGCGGCTTTTTTTGACCTATATCTTCCTCGCAGTTCGCACAAAGTTTGTTGCAATGGCGACAAGAATCCAGGAGCAGTTCGCCGCAAAAGAAAGTCCGTTTTTGAGGTCGCTGAAAGAAGAAGACAAGGGGAAAAGCAGCGAAGCCAAACTAAGGTGATTCTTGAAGATTCATTCCAGCGATGGCGCGACTGAAGCAGACGAAGGGTCTAAAGACTGAACCACTGGTCCACAAATTACTCCTGGACAGGAAACTTCTGCTTATTATGAAAACGTACTTTATTTCCAAGAGCTTAGACAAACGTTTTTCAGGACACGAAAGCGATATCCTATGTCTGAAAACGTAATTTTCAAGGCAAAGAAAGAGTCCGCTTGCTGCTGCGTGTTGTAGCTAGTTTCATTCGCACTGAATCTCCGCGCAACTCTTCTCTGCTCCCCTTTCCTGCTCCTCTCCCCGCTGCCCGATCCACTCTTCCCTCTCTCTCCTCTCTCTCTCACCTCTCTCTGCTCCTCTCTCGCTCTCCACTCCGCACACACTCGTCTCAACCAACACGTAGTTAGTTGTTTACAAGTCATGTGCAGCGGCTGTAAACAAACCTGTTTCTGGCGTAAGGAGGAGGAGGGAGGAGGTGTTTCTACGTAGGAGCTGTGGGGGAGGGGGGTGGTTTCACGCAGGAGCAACATTTGAAAAAGGACAAACAGTCGCTGGATTTCTCGTTCCTTGGAAAATCCTCTATACAACCTTTAATCGTCACAAACAGACCCGGAGCTGCGTTTTTGTTTCGTTCGCACGTGTTTAACGCGCAAACCCTGCACGTTTAAGGCTCTGGAGTTCTTCTCTCAAACAGGAAACTCTCAGAAAATGAAACAAAACACAAGTCCAGGTCTGTTTTTGAGGAGGGAACGACATTATAACACGACTTAAAGCTCACAAGAGTCAGTTTCAGCTTTAAGTTCGTACGTCCCCGCAGCAAATTTTAGTATGAGGAAAAAAAATAGGACAGTTGCCATAGCGATAAACAACATAAAACGAAATATTTTATCTTTTGAATGGGGAAAAATGTTGAATATATCAGAAACTCACGGACAAACTGTTCACGTTCTAGTATCTGATGATGTCATAACTTCTCTCTTTCTTTTTTTTTTCTTTGTCTCACTCTCTTTCTCTTGCTCTCCTTTACTCACTTTCTCTCTCTCGCTCTTTCTTTTTCTCTCTCTCACTCTTTCTCTTTTTCTCTCTTTCTCCCTGTTTTTCCCTCCTTCCCTCTCTCTTCCTTTTTCTCTCTTATTCTTTCTCTTTTTCTCCCTCTCTCTCCCTCTCTCTCACCTCTTTCTCTCTCTCCTTTCTCTTTTTCTCCCTCTCTCACCTTCCTCCCTCTCTCTCTCGCTCTCTCTCTCTCTCTCTCCCTCTTTCTCTTTGTCCCTCTCTTCCTCTTTCTCCCTTCCTTTCTCCTTCTCTTTCTCTCTCTTCTCTCTCTCCTCCCTCCTTCTCTCTTTCGCCTTCTCTCTCTCTCTCCTCCTCCCTCCCTCTCTCTCTCTCTCCTCTCTTCTTCTCTCTTTCGCCTTCTCTCTCTCTCTCTCCCCCTCCCTCTCTCTCTCCCTCCCTCATTCTCTCTCTCACCTCTTTCTCTCGCTCTCTTTCTCTCTCTCACATACTTTCTTTCTCTCCCTCTCTCCCCTCTCTCTCTCTTCCTCTTTTTCTCCCTCCCTCTCTCCCTCTCCCTCTCTCTCTCCCTCTCTCTCTCTCTCCTCTTTCTCTCTTCTTCCTCCTCTCTCCTCTCCTCTCTCTCTCTCTCTCCTCCTCATTCTCTCTCTCACCTCTTTCTCTCGCTCTCTTTCTCTCTCTCACATACTTTCTTTCTCTCCCTCTCTCTCCTCTTTCTCCTCTTCCCTCTCTCTCTCTCTTCCTCTTTTTCTCCCTCCCTCTCTTCCCTCTCCCTCTCTCTCTCTCCCTCCCCCTCTCTCCTCATTCTCTTTTTCCCTCTCTCCCTCTCTCTCCCTCTCTCTCTCTCTCTCTCTCTCTCTCTCTCTTTCTCTTTTTCTCCCTCTCTTTCTCTCTCACCCCCCTCATTCCCTCCCTCTCTCACCTTTCTTCTCTCTCTCTATTTCTTTCTCTCTCTTTGTCTCTCTCTCTCCTCATTCTCTTTTTCCCTCTCTCCCTCTCCCTCCCTCTCTTACCTCTTTCTCTCTTTCGTCTTTCTCTTTTTCTCCCTCTCTTTCTCTCTCACCCCCCTCATTCCCTCCCTCTCTCACCTTTCTTTCTCTCTCTCTCTCTCTTTGTCACTCTCTCTCCTCTTTCTCTTTTCCCCTCTCTTTCTCCCTCCCTCTCTCTCTCTCCTCATTCTCTTTTTCCTCTCTCTCCTCCCTCCCTCGCTCCCTCTCTCTCTGTCTTCTTTCTCTCTCTCTCTCTTTCTCTCTCTCTCTTGTCACTCTCTCTCCTCTTTCTCCCTCCCTCTCTCTCTCTCCTCATTCTCTTTTCCCCTCTCTCTCTCCTCCCTCGCTCCCTCTCTCTCTTCTTTCTTTCTCTCTCTCTATTCTTCTTTCTCTCTCTTTGTCACTCTCTCTCTTCTTTCTCTTTTCCCTCTCTCCCTCCCTCCTCCTCTCCTCTCTCTCTCTCTCTCATTCTCTTTGTCACTCTCTCTCTCCCTCCTCTCCCTCCCTCCCTCCGTCTCTCTGTCTTTCAGGTTGAAGAGGTGTGAGTTGTCTGACCGGGGCTGTTCTCTTCTGGCGTCTTCGATGAACGTTCACGTGAAGGAGCTCAGACTGAACTGGAACTATGCCATAAGAGACCAGGGGGTGGCGCAGCTGAGCAGGTTCCTCCAGAGTCTCAGCTGTGGCCTGGAGATTCTCAGGTACAAATCCTACACGTCGTTGTGCTTTACAGAGCTGTCAAAAGTATCGAAAATCTGACACTAATCCATTCTAAAACTAGTATCGAAAGTAGATGCTCATTTTTCGCAGGTATCGATTCTAAAAAAAAGTCGCATTATCAGGACAGAAATGAACCTCTCCTGAGCAGCGGCGACGGGCAGATGAGGAGGGTAACACGTCTGCTGTTCTGTGGCGCCATCTGGTGGTTTAAAAAATGAACTGTTTCCTCTGCAGAAGCACAAAGAGCAGAACTCGATCAGACAGACACGGGAATGTTTATCATAGATGCTCCAACGAATGAAGAAAGAACGTAAAAATGTAACGCAATCTCATGTCAATGAGACTAAAACAGGATTAAACCAGGTCTAAACCAGGTCCAAAAACAGGTCTAAAAACAGGTCCAAAAACAGGTCTAAAATAGGACTAAAACAGGTCTAAACCAGGTCTAAACCAGGTCCAAAAACAGGTCTAAAAGAGACTAAACCAGGACTAAAAACAGGTCTAAATAGGACTAAAACAGCTCTAAACCAGTCTAAACCAGCTCTAAACCAGGTCTAAAATAGGACTAAACCAGGTCTAAAAACAGGTCTCAAATAGGACTAAAACAGGTCTAAACCAGGTCTAAACCAGGTCCAAAAACAGGTCTAAAAGAGGACTAAAACATGACAAAAACAGGTCTAAACCAGGTCTAAAACAGGTCTAAACCAGGACTAAACCAGGTCCAAAAACAGGTCTAAAATAGGATTAAACCAGGACTAAACCAGGTCTAAACCAGGACTAAACCACATCTAAAAACAGGTCTCAAATAGGACTAAAACAGCTCTAAACCCAGTCTAAACCACATCTAAAAACAGGTCTCAAATAGGACTAAAACAGCTCTAAACCCAGTCTAAACCAGCTCTAAACCAGGTCTAAAATAGGACTAAACCAGGTCTAAAAGGAAAAAAGGTCTAAAACAGGTAAAAACAGGTAAAATAGGACTAAAACAGACAAAAACAGGTCTAAACCAGGTCTAAAAACAGGTCCAAAAACAGGTCTAAAATAGGATTAAACTAAACCAGGACTAAACCAGGACTAAACCACATCTAAAAACAGGTCTCAAATAGGACTAAAACAGCTCTAAACCCAGTCTAAACCAGCTCTAAACCAGGTCTAAAATAGGACTAAACCAGGTCTAAAAACAGGTCTCAAATAGGACTAAAACAGGTCTAAACCAGGTCTAAACCAGGTCTAAAACAGGTCTAAAAAACAGGTCTAAAAAGGACTAAAATGACAAAACAGGTCTAAACCAGGTCTAAAAACAGGTCTAAACCAGGACTAAACCAGGTCCAAAAACAGGTCTAAAAATGGACTAAACCAGTCTAAACCAGTCTAAACCACATCTAAAAACAGGTCTCAAATAGGACTAAACCAGCTCTAAACCAGGTCTAAAGTAGGACTAAACCAGGTCTAAAAACAGGTCTCAAATAGGACTAAACCAGGTCTAAAAACAGGACTAAACCGGGTCTAAAAACAGGACTAAACCTAAAATGTGTCTAAAAACAGGCCTAAAATGTGTGTAAAAACAGGCCTAAAATGGGTCTAAAAACAGGACTAAAATGGGTCTAAAAACAGGATTAAAACAGGACTAAAATGTGTCTAAAAACAAGACTAAAATGTGTGTAAAAACAGGACTAAAATGTGTGTAAAAACAGGACTAAAATGTGTCTAAAAATGGGACTAAAATGTGTCTAAAAACAGGACTAAAATGTGTGTAAAAACAGGACTAAAATGGGTCTAAAAACAGTAAAATGTGTCTAAAAACAGGATAAAACAGGACTAAAATGTGTCTAAAAAACAGGACTAAAATGTGTGTAAAACAGGACTAAAATGTGAAAAACAGGACTAAAATGTGTCTAAAAACAGGACTAAAATGTGTCTAAAAACAGGACTAAAATGTGTCTAAAAACAGGACTAAAATGTGTCTAAAAACAGGACTAAAATGTGTGTAAAAACAGGACTAAAATGTGTGTAAAAACAGGACTAAAACAGGACTAAAATGTGTCTAAAAACAGGACTAAAATGTGTCTAAAAACAGGACTAAAATGTGTCTAAAAACAGGACTAAAATGTGTCTAAAAACAGGACTAAAATGTGTCTAAAAACAGGACTAAAATGTGTCTAAAAACAGGACTAAACCAGGTCTAAAAACAGGACTAAAACATCGTCTTTCCCATTGACAAACCCAGCGCCAGTGCAGCCAAAAGCGCAATCTCACTAAACCAAGTGTCCCGACTCCTGAGGAACGTGAGGAAGGTGAGGAAGGTGGTAACATTTTTTCACTGAAGCACAACAGCTGCCTATGTCCAATAATAATGTGCTTAAAGTCATGTCAAATTCAGTTTGGGCCCGATTACATTACTAACTATAATTTTATAACTTTTTTAACGCTGTATCCTAAACTGTGGATAATTAATCTAACATAGTATATGATGAAGTATGTTTCTGGAGATTAAAGATTAAAAAGAAAAAATAATAAGAACCGTACCGAACCGAAAACCGCGACAATTACGAACTGAACCGTGAATTTTGTGAACCGCACCACCCCTATGTAATATACTGTGATGTGTGAGCTACAGTGCCCAAATAATTTCCCTTGTGAATCCATCAGGTTTGAAAGTCTAAATTCCCAGGTGAGTCTGCGTGTGTGAATGGGGCTTCAGGAGACAGTGTTGTTTTTTGTTTTTTTTCCAGGATCCGGAGCTGTGGCGTGTCCAGGATCGGCTGCTCTTCTCTGCACTCGGCTCTGGAGTCCAACCCCCTGTGTCCCCTGAGAGAACTGGACGTGTGCGAGAACAACCTGACTCACAGCGACGTGGAGAAGCTCACAGAAACACTGCACAACCCAGAATATCGCCTGGAGGAGCTCGAGTCAGTTTTAGTCTACGTGTATTTGTCCCAGTAAAGACAAATTGTACCTAAAATATCAAATCTTTTCTTTTTGCAGATGGGAGGAGGATGACTGAAATGAAAGAGAACATTTCACGTTTCATGAAGAGATTTAGTTAAACGTCCGATATGACGCTAAACTGACTCTCGTGAGCTTTAAGCTCTAAGTGTTCTAATGCTGTTACCTCATCAAAACAGAACTGGAGTTGTGTTTTGTCTCCTTATTATTAATCTGTCTATATCTCCAAAGCTCAAAATGCTCTGTTCCACCTTGTGATGTCATGAAGCTGTAGTTTTCAAGTGAACAGCTCCTTTTACCTTTAGTTCAGCCGAGATTGGCAATTCCAGGACTGAAATTTTCCAGACAGGGCTGTCGCGGTTGGGGGACTTCTCCTGGCTCAACAGCACGGTATGAACCACACCAGGACTAAACCAGGTCTAAACCAGGTCTAAACCAGGTCTAATCCTGGACTTAAGAGAGAGAGAACCCTGAGTCCGTGGAGCAGAGTGTCTGCAAAGCGTGATCGGGCGATGGCTGCGCAGAGCTCTGAGCCGGTCCTTTTGCCTGCGGTCACCCAACGGTTTACACAGGCGCACCTCCGAGCCCGACCCAACAGTGAGTCCTGGTTTAGTCCTGGTTCAGTCCTGGTTCAAGTCCTCCTGGTTCAGTCCTGGTTCAGTCCTGGAATCAGTCCTAGGTTAGTCCTGGTTTAGTCTGTGTCATTGTTTCTTCTGCTCAGTAAATAAAGCCTGTGAAGTGATGTCAGTCAAGTCGTGTCGGTGAATTCGTGTTCGTACTAAAGAAAGTGAAACCGTTTCATTTAATTTCGTGATTGTAATTCTTGAAGTTGTAACTTTTCAGTTTGTATTCTGACTGATGCTTCAGTTTAATTTGTGTGTGATTTATCACGGACACGGGCGGGTAATGGGGGTAACGTTAACAGGTCCGGGCGGGTGCGGGCTTAACTTTGATAAAATCACAGGTTAACGGGCGGGTGCGGTGCTGTACTGCACGGGGGTGGGCAGGTGCAGGTCTCCAAAAATGGACCCGTGCAGGACTCTGGGTCGGGTCACGTCGGTCACGTGCGGTGATTGTGGTGGGCCACTTAGTGATTCATTTTTGCGGTTATCGCGACAGCCCTATATCCAAATGATGAATAGTGAAGGTGTGTGGAGTTTGAAAACACAGTGGAGCATTTTATTAACACATGACATCACGAGGTGGAACAGAGTGTTTTCTGTTTGAGAGAAGAAAATCTGCAGGGTTTGTTTGTTTATTTGTAGCGGCCAAAATGGTCCATGTCTTTGTTCTCTGTGGAGTTCTCTAATCAGCACCAGCAGGTGCAGCAAGTTCATGAGGAACATTGTTCTGTCTGATGCACGTTTACGTTTCAGAGCTTCACTGCCTCGACAACACGTGAGACTGAAGCAGATCTGCTCTTTTGAATGTACTGACAGGATGTAGCACTGTTATGCAGTTTGTTTTGTTTCCATTGAAAATGAGCACATTTAAGTGTAATATTTTCTTAACTAAGACGTGCAGCTTGTGGTGTTGTGTTGATGGAGGTTAAGGACTTTTGGACTGTGTGATTTGAGCCGTTTGTTTTTCCTGTATCCATGGAGACCACACAGATAGAAATGTTAATGACGTTGTTACAGACTTTTTATACCAAATGTGGAAAAATGTTCCAGAGAGAATTTTCCGTCTCATCATGGACCAAAACAACAG